CCAGTCTGGGCGACAGAGTGAGACTCCAACTAAAAAAAAAAAAAAAATTAGAAAGTATTCTTCTAAAAAGCCTTTTCACCATTCTATTTTGAAACTTGTGTTTGCTTAGTTATAATTTTTAAATAGTGTTTTCCTTTCAAAGTATTATTCAGTTGTAATTCTTGTGGTGAAATATAAACCTTAATGAATAAGTTACCTGAAAAAAATTCCATGTTTTACCTAAACAGAGGCACATTTTCATATAACTATAATCTAATCAAGGTGAGACCAACTGGACCATGAGTATTTTTAAAATTATTTTTGTTTCCTAGTGTTTTGTGCTTGCTATGACATCTGGTCAAATGTGGAATCATATAAGAGGACCGCCATATGCTCATAAGAATCCCCACACAGGACATGTGGTAAGGAAAGTCTGGAATTTCTTTCCATTGTAGATCAAAGTTAACTCAATGATTATTACCCTGTGAGACCAGCACCAGTGTATGAAGAAACTAGATTTAGTCTTGACTTTTCAATCTCTCTGTGTTTACAAATTTCAGTTACTGAGGAGACCATGCAGTGCTCTTAAAAGTGGAAAGTTACTTATCCTATTTGGTGAATTCTTTTGACTAAGCTGACTAAGAATGAAGGTCAGCGTTCAGCTAAATATAATAATTGGAACTTAAGCATCTACTGTTTCTAAACAGTGTGCTAGATATTATTAGCTATAGTGACAAACAAGAAAAACATGATCCTGGCTGGGTGCAGTGGTTCACGTCTGTAATCCCAGCACTTTGGGAGGCTGAGGCAGGAGGATTGCTTGAGCCCAGGAGTTTGAGACAAGCCTGGGTAAGACCTCGTCTCTACAAAAAATTTTTTAAAAGGCCAGACGCAGTGGCTCATGCCTATAATCCTAGCACTTTGGGAGGCCGAAGAGAGAGAATTGCCTGAGCCCACAGGTTCAAGACCAGCCTAGGCAGCTTAGCGAGACCTCATCTTTACAATAAATCAAAAAATTAGCTGGGTGTGGTGGCACATGCCTGTAGTTCCAGCTACTTGGAAGGCTGAAGTGGAAGGCTCACTTGAACCCAGCAGGTCAAGCCTGCAGTGGCCGTGAGTGTGCCACTGCACTCCAGCCTGGGTGACAGAGTGAGACTCTAACTAAAAAAAAAAAAAAATTAGCTAGGCGTGGTAGTGCACACCTGTAGTCCCAGCTACTCGGGAGGATGAGGCAGGAGGATCACTAGATCCCAGGAGGTCATGCTATGGTGAGCTGTGATTGTGCCCCTGCACTCCAGCTTGTGCAATAGAGTGAAACCCCAACTCAAAAAGAAAAAAAGAAAGAAGGTTGAGCACGGTGCCTCATGCCTATAATCCCAACACTTTGGGAGGCTGAGGCGAGAGGATTGCCTGAGCTCAGGGATTCGAGACCAGCCTGGGCAACTTGGCGAGACCTCATCTCTATAATAAATCAAAAAATAAAAATTAGCTGGGCATGGTGGTGCATATCTGTAGTTCCAGCTACTTGGAAGGCTGAGGTGGAAGGATCACCGGAGCCCAGCAGGTTG